TAATTATACTGATTTGAGCTCATTTAATTTAATATGCGGGTGCACACATTCATTCTCAACTGGACATAAATGATGATCAAGAACAATGTTTAGTTTTATTATTAACATGATGTCTGTGTTTATTAATGCAATTTGAAAGTAAATACTCAAAAGTTGGATGTATGATGGACTCATCAAATCCCAGCTTCTAAACACAGTATGCTGAATCTTAGCATTAAATACCCAGTATATTCTAATCAGTACAATTTAAGCATTCACAGCACCTACAATATCTACACCTGTGTGGTGGCAAATGTACAGATCTTTCTCTCTCATATATCTATATCTATCTATCTATAGTGTCAGTTGATTAAATTATCGTGACTAAATACTCATGATAAATCGCAAATTAATCTTTTTTTTTTTTTAAATCTGTTCTAAAGGAACTTTAGGATACTCTTCATGTTTCTAATACCTTCAACAGTATGGGAGTGGACAAACTACTATACTTGCTTTATGCAAATATGTGTTTATTTTTAATCGCAACAATTCAAAACAATGAAAAATACAATGAGAAATCCAGAATACTGTTCAGCAAAGCCTCAAAGGTACTGAATACTCAAAATTATGCCGAAAGGAATCATATACTCCCACACAATGTAACTGTTTAATTTACCATTAGAGTGGGATCAAAACAAGGAGTGCAGTTAGGGTATGAATAAAACAATTTGGCTATACTTCTTTTTGCTCTCCAGTTTGTTTGTTTTTAAGCAGAGGCTGAGCAACCCAAGCTTCTTCCTCCTTTTTTCCTAATAAAACCTGAACATGGAAACAGCACATAAGAGAAACAAAGAAAAAAAACCCTAGAACATACAGTACATGGGTTGTCACTATTACTTTGCACTAACCCAATTGCTCAAACAGACATGCATCTTAACATTTTGAGATGACAGGGCAGCTCGCTTGTTCTGAAAAACATGCCCAGAAAGTGAAAATAACCTCTCACATGGTATGGATGTGGCAGGTGTTGCCAAGTACATGCGTGCAAGGTAGGCCATCTCACTGTGTGCCCCTTCATGCTTGGACCACCATTTCTGGGGACAGTCCTCTATGTCAATAGTTGGCTCTGCCCTGTATCGCTCCACACATTTCTCAATATAGTCCTCCTCTTCATCAGATGAAGACTCCGAGGCAAACATGAGAGCTGATCTTTTCTTAGATGGCTCATATGTTGCTGGTTGTTCAGGCTGTGCAGGCCTCTGCCTCTCCCTGAGCAACGCACTGATCAAGCGCCACACCTCAGCCCTGTCAGCTCTGCTTAGACACTTAAGACCCTTAAACCTAGGATCCAGTGCTGTTGCAACCCTGAGCCACATGATGTTAGTTTTTTCCTTGTGCTTCTCCATTTCTGCTTTAAAGGTCTCCTTGAATTTAACCATGTAAGCTGGGTCATACTCAGAGACCTCCATCACTCGCGACAGGTGACACAAAGCTGGCAACACCACTGAGCAGGAAACAAACTTCTCCCCTCCCAAAAGTTCAGTTATATACCTGCAGTAATAGAGAAACATACATCATTAAGAATTTGTTACATTCAATCACAAAAGGTCAAAATACTTTATACACACACTCTCTATGTCAGAAGTGGTAAGAGTAAGTATTAATAAATTACCTGCAGTGTTCAAGAACCGTCTCCAGCTTCTTCAGTTTCTCCACTTCAGCTGTTGTTGGCATTGTGACATTGGTTGGATGTAGTGCCAGTGCATCTCTCAGTGGTTCTTGATTTCTCAGAACATGCTTGATCATCTCCAGGTTACTGTTCCATTTTGTTGATACGTCCTGTGTAAGTGACTCTTTTTTATGAAAATGTGCAATTTGCTGTTGTTCGAGCTCCAGTGCGTTCGGTGGGCTATGGTTGAAATGGCCTATGACCTTTCTGCATTTTGCCAATGCGCTGTTAAATGGACTGTTCTGTAGAGAAACTGTGATGGCTCGATGGAGGCTGTGTGCGATGCAAGGCATATGCTCTACAGGTAGCTGACTGGCCGCTGCAACCATGTTGCATGCACCGTCAGTGGTCAGCGTGCTGACTTTATGTTCAATCCCCCACTGTCTAGCTACCTGCAGAAATTGCTCGGCGCACGTGTCGGCGAAGTGCTGCTCCTCAGTTTCCATAACAGTCAGAACATGCGACTTTAGTTCCCACTGTGGTGAAAGATAATGTGCTGTTATTCCAAGGTAACTGTGATTACTTCGAAAAGTCCAATAGTCTTCGGTGAGTGCAACCGTATTGGTCTGCCCCAAAGCCTCCTCGACTTTGGCTTTCTCATCTTCGTATAAGTTGTGGATCTTGGCTACAGTGGTGGCTCTCGAAGGCAATTCATACGTGCAGTCGTTGGACGCTATGCGAATTATTTCAAGTAGCCCCTCATCCTCCACAATGTCAATCGGCCTCCAAGCTGTAGCCACCCATTTTGCTATGGCTGTTGAAAGTTTGTTGGTTGTAGAATTGTCCATTCGTCTCCTTTGAAAGCTATCCAGCATGGTCTGCATTTGGCGAGGGAGATTCTCTGCTTCAGCTGTGTGCTTGGCTAGCAAATGGTATTTGAGACTGGACGTGCTACGGTGATAACGCAGTTCACATCGACAGTAAATACAAATTACTTTGGTCTTGTCAAGAGATCCATCTGGCATTGCTTTAAAATTGAACTTGCCGTTCAAAATACGCCCTTTTTTGTCCATTTCTGCTCACTAGCGATGGCTCGCTTGAAGCTGTAGCTCCGGTGCGTCCACAACACACTGGTTCTCGAGGCTTGATTCGTTTGGTCAGAGTCACGTGACCAGTGACGTCCGAAGCTTCATAACTGATACGATTCGCGGGATTTGTGGAGTGTTTTGGTTGTGAGAGATAGCAAACCACTGATCATTTTATTAAGAGATATCGAGCCAGCGAGGAAGAGAGGAGGTTCTGTCGTGTGGGAGTATTTTGAATTGATTTTGGTCAATCGTGTGAGTTTGTCAGCTTTCTCTTCTTGTTTTTCGCTTATGTTTTCTGTGTTTTTATTTGATCTGAAAACGTGAAAAGGTTAAAATGTCTTAACAAAACAAAAATCTGCTTTTCATAATATAAATATCGTTAAATAACTTTAGAAAGACT